TTATTTTCATTAGACACACACTTTTCCCTCAGAAAATGTGTGTGTGTGTAGGGAGAGGGAGAGAGAAAGAATGCTTGAGCGCAGCACTTGTAGTTTTAGTCTCAAAAATCTCTAGTTGCACTATTGGACTAAAATGTAGTCATTCTTAAACTTGAAATGAGGCTTATATTATCTAATTTATTGTTACCATAGAACACTTTTACTTACCCAGAGAGCCCAGAGTGTTAGCCCATAGTGCCCCTTGCCTGGTTACCATATTCAAAATCCTATCAGGAAAGAGAGAAGTATTACTGTTTATCTTCATCATTTATTTTAGAGAACTCAAATATTAGATCCATTAGAGCTCTGAAATACATGGATTCTGACAATTTTCTTTTTCAAAATTAATGTCTAAATTCAATTATAGCTATTAAAGAAGTAACTGTTAGACACCATCAACATTTCAGTCTACCTAGGAACTGAGGAAAGCTCCTATAGGAACTGTAGAACCTCAGTCCTTGACTACATGGTCACTCAAGTAAGAATGGAATGTATTTTTAAAAGTGGCTCAAGCAAATTGTTTATCATCTATTATTACTATCAGAACCTAGCTTGAATTATTTTTTATATTATAATGTAGGATCAAGAGATGAGTGGTCAACTTGAGGTTAAAAAAAAAAAAGCAACCAGAAGTACAGATATATTTTTTATAATTTATGTCTGCTTCCACACTAACATTGAATAGTCAAAATGGCTGCTCAGCACACTCTCGAGGAAGCACGGTCCCCTTCTGTCTGCTGATACCAGGAATCACTAGAACAGTGAAGGTGGTAACTAGGTCAAGAGGACAGTCTATTAATCTACCAGTAGTGTAACACTATCACAGGAATGGCAATATCCTGGATAGCTGACTACCACTGGACCTCATAAAACTACCATGTGACAGCAAAAAACACATTTATGATTATCACATGTTCAATTAAAAGCCAGTGTGTTTTCACTGACTTGTAAATTGTAAAGTTTTTAAAAGTGGTAGACAAAGGTTTTTTTTTTTTTGGGTAAATAGCATTTTATTCTTTCCAATTACATGTAAAGATAGTTTTCAACATTCATTTTTATAAGATTTTGAGTTCCATATTTTTCTCCCTCTTTCCCTTCCCTCAAGATGGCAAGCAATCTTTATAGGTTGTACATGTGTAATCATGGAAATATATTTCCACATTAGTCATGTTGTGAAAGAAGAAACAGAACAAAAGGGGGAAAGCCACCAAAAACAAAAACAAAAACAAAAAGAGAGAGAGAGAGAGAGAGAGAGAGAAAGAAAAAAGAAAAGTGAAAATAATATGCCTTGATCTACATTTATTCTTTGGATATGGATAGCATTTTCTGTCACGAGTTTTTGGAATTTAGACAAAGTATTAATAAAGACAATAAAAGTTAACTGTGGTAAAGTTAAAATGCAAGGAAATTGATTTTATGAATAATTGTTAGAGCGTAAATCTACCACAATATATGATTTTGTTTCTAATATAACATATTTCACTTTAAATTTTTAAAGGTACTTTCATATCTTTAATTTCATTTTTGGTACTGGTTTCATTTCATTTTTTCATCTGTAAATTCTATTATGTTGATGGAAAAGATTATAAAATAATTCCTAGTTGCTGTAATTTGTTTTAAGACCACCTTGATTCTGAATGCAACTGCTGTAAATGACACTCCCCCCAAACAAAGTACAGTCATTTAAATTAATACCCAAATACAAAAGGAAAGAGTCATATTTGTTGTATGTTGCGAAAGCAAAGATGGCTTTCAAGGAAATGACCTTCAGAAAGTTTCAGAGTCTTAACTAATGTACTAACAAAACTAAGACATTTACTGCCCCCTGCTGGCTGAACTTATGCCAAGTATAAATGCTTTTTTAAACCAATCCTACTAAAGTTTTGAATACACACAGAGAAAAATCTGAACAAAGATGAAGTGTTTAGGCATTACATCAAATAAGACTTACTGTACATTTCTTGGCTTGGACCAGGACATCTTTCGTGTTTCTTTTAGTCCCAGCCTCAAACCATTCACTGCTCCAAATGTAGCTCCTTAAAGAACCAAAATATTAACAATTATTGTACAAAGAATCCAGAATTAATGATACCACTTCAAAACTTGTAACAGTAAAAACAAAAACAAAAACAAAACAACCGAAAAAACCAATGATCTTGAATAGATGTCTTTTATAGAAAATACAATCACTTTTTAAAATTACATTATACTGTCAGCAAAAGAAAAATTCACCAAATTTTCCTTATGATTGCTTTCCCAACTTAATTACCATGTATTGCACACTTTTCGGCCCTAAAATATAAAACAATCAAGCATGGAGATGTATATCTACCTGTTATACAGCATCCTCCAATGGTAAAAAATGCCAATTCAAACCTGCCCCGTGTTTTATTGGCTCCAGTGGGTAAAATAAACTCATCTGTGTCCTAAAAGGTAAAAATGAAAACACATTTTATTCTGCCTCTGGAGATACACCAATCATCAAAATCCTTTGTGATTTTCCAAAAGAAATCTCCAAAGAAAATGAAATTTTAATTAAACTAAATCCTACTACAGAAATACCCCACTTGTTTGGAGGTCAGATTTCTGATAACTTCAACTGCATGGAACCCTGAATGAAGTGAAGCAAAATACTTGTCACAAAACACACATACACACACACACACACACACACATACACACACACATTTTCTGAGGGAAAAGTGTGTGTCTAATGAAAATAA